GGAGCGGATTTAATTCAAAACTCAGTCTTGTTTTGTTTTTTCACTACTCCTGTGATCACTTTTCACCTCTTAGGTTTCTCAACTCTAATTTCCAAAGACCTATTAAACATCTCCATCTGTATTTATTTATTAAAAGCACAAAGCTTAAAAAAAAAAAAAGCATAAAGCTTGAGCATACACTGCACATCAGATGCTGGGCTAGATGCCAATCAAGGTGCCTACAACACAGACACAACAGTGCCTTATACATAGCAAGAGCTCACTTGTACTCTTTCTTTCATCTTCCAGAGTCACCTTAACAGTGCCCACACATGTCCTGGCTGATGCTCTCAAGAGTATCAACAATGCTGAAAAGAGAGGCAAACACCAGGCTGTGCTCCAAAGTCCTTGTCATATTTCTAATTGTGATGATGAAGCATGGTTTTACACAGGCGAGTTTTAAATCATTGAGGACCACAAGGCTGGGAAAACTGTTGTGAACCTCACAGGCAGGCTAAATAAGTGTGGCGTGATCAGCCCCAGATTGGATGTAAACGATATGGAAAAACAGCAGAATAACCTGCTCTTGTCCTGTTGGTTTGGTTTCATTGTACTGACAACCTCAGCAGGTATCAGGGACAGTAAAGAAGTAAGATGAAAAACACATAGGAGGGAAAATCCTTGGACTCTTTGTCCAGGAATGTAATATACATACAATACAATACAATTACAATACATTACAGCTGACTTGTTGGGAAAGATCCTGACGCTGGGAAAGACGGAAGGCAAGAGGAGAAGAAGGCAGCGGAGGATGAGACAGTTGGACAGCATCACTGACTCAATGGACATGAACTTGGGCAAACTCTAGGAGACGGTGAGAGACACAGAGGCCTGGTATGCTGCAGTCCATAGGGTTCCAAAGAGTTGGACACAACTTAGTGACTGAACAACAATACATATGCATGCAAATAAAGTGCCTCAGAGGACAAAAAAATAGAACTCACTATAGATGAGTTCCAGTCATTTTCTCTCACAACCCCTTCCACTGCACCCTGCCTCTGAGCCATGTTAAGTGACCATACTGGAATCCATCATTTTCCCTAATGCCTTTGCCCAAATTGTGTATTTACTGGAATTCCCTTCCTTAGTCTCTCAACATTTTCCTATCTCAACTCAACTTAAGATCCTCTAAGAAGTCTTCTCTGACTCCCTTCCTCGACTCTACCTTCCTTGTTTATTCACCCCCAGTATCTCTTGTCTACATCCTGGTGCTGTTTGGTTGGTTTGTTTTCAATATTTATCACACATTTAATCTACTCTATGAAATGGTTAGCTCCTCAAAAGTAGAGATCATATTTACTTACTTGTTTCCTCTCAGGCTCATGCTAGGCACCTCTTTTACTATGAGCTGAAACAGCAACAAATAAATATTTCCTGGCCAATCAACTGTTAAATCACTAAATGTATACACATGTATGTACACTGCCAAGAAACTGTTACTAATAGAATGGGCTTATTAGGCAGAGTGAAACAATGTGAAGAGGAAAGAAATAGTAACAAAAATTTACATGAGAATTAAAAAAAAAAAGTGAATGCGTACCAGTTTGGGCATACTCAAGCAAACTCAAGTGGACAAAAGGGTGAAGCCTAAAAACAATGATATATTAATAATATATTCAATAGTTCCACCAGTAATAAATCATTGAATAATTCCACGTTTGATGTATATGCCAGGCCTGAGATTTGAGGGGAGGTCAAGTCTGTATTAACATTTGTGATGGAACTTCCTTGGTGGTCCAGTGGCTAAGACTCCACACTCCCAGTGCAGGGGGCTGGGAGTTCAACCTCTGGTCAGGGAACTAGATCCCACATGCCGCAACTAAAACCAGCCGCAGCCAAATAACTAAAATAAATATATATTAAAAAAAAATACTTGTGATGACTGTTAGTGTTAGTCACTCAGACATATTCGACTCTTTTGAGACCCCATGGACTGTAGCCCACCAGGCTCCTCTGTCCGTGGGATTTCCCAGGTAAGAATATCGGAGTGGGTTGCCATTCCCTTATCCTTGACAAATCAACAAAACCCAATGAAAAGTTAACAGGACCAGCTCTCCTAAAAGGCTGTGTAGCCCAAAGTACATTTCTTTCTTTCTTTCTTTCTTCTTTAAAAAAATTTATTTTACGGGCTGTGCCAGGTCTTAGTTGCAGCATTTGGGATTAGTTCTCTGACCAGGGATCGAACTCACACCTCCTGAACTGGGAGTGTGAAGTCTTAGCCACTGGACCATCAGGGAAGTCCCACAAAGTGCACTTCTTGTCTATAAATAAGGTATAAATCATAGCCGTAAAATATTTCTCCTTTCTAGTATTTAGCTTTTTTTTTTCCTTCTCCTTCCCAGATGTTGCTCTTAGAACCATAAAATTTAATTTAAAATCATGATTTCACTGACTCATTTTTGCACTTGGGGCTCTGGACTCCAGCACATTATCAACATACCCCTCCTCCACACACACAGCCCACCCTAACAAACCCACGGTATCTGACAGCTTCCAAGGCATTCTCAGCCTCATTCAAATTGCTTTCCAGGTCAAGGAATGTAGTAAGCCTACCTTCCAGCTACCAGCCCCCCGCCCTTTGGTCTTTCTCTCCGGAGGCTCTTCCTTTAGACACAATGGGACACAGGTAGGGGGATGGGGTGAATTAATCGCAGGCTTTCAGGCAAAGACCCCCACCAGCAAAGAACAAAACTTCGCGTACCAGCAGTTTAGAGAGCTGCAGGCAAACCAACGTACCTGGTGGCCTTGACTGCCCTCAACTACCAAACAGGGCTAATTGAGAGCCTGGAAGTCTAGTTTTCCCCCATTTAAACTTACTTTCCCCTTTTTATTGAAATGTAATTGATATATTAATACAATATTGTATTAGTTCAAAGTGTACAATGTAATAACTTGACATACGTATGTGTTGCAAATACATCACTGACTCAATGCACATGAGTTTGGGTGGGCTCTGGGAGCTGATGTTAGACAGGGAGGCCTGGCGTGCTGTAGCTCATGGGGTCGCAAAGAGTCAGACACGACAGAGTGACTGAACTGACTGACTGATGTGTTGCAAAATGATCACCACAATAATAAGTTTAGATAACATCCATCACCTCACATTCTCCGCCCCCCTCCCCGACTTTGGCCATGCTGCATGGCATTTGGGATCTCAGTTCCCCGACTGGGGATGGAACACACGCCCCCAGCAGTGGAAGCACACAGTCTTAAACACTGGACTGCTAGTGAAGTCCCTGACATTCCTTTTTTTTTTTTTTTTTTAAAGAAATCATCTTCTATTTCTAATGAGACAGAAGCTCTCTGCCTGAAACACAATGTATTCCACCCACCCTCTCCTTGAGGCCTCTCTTCCAGACTCTTTTCCCCTCCAGGATGATGGTCCAAGAAAACAAAGATTACACAGAATTTCATTCCCTTGTTTGGACCCAGCAATAATCCTACTCTTGCAAGTTGGCACCTTTGTATTGTGAGTTAAACTCAGCTAGTGTGGGAGCTAAGCCAGTAGGTGGAGACCTGAGCGGCAGAGGGGATGGGAGGATTAGTCAAGAATTGTATTTTAGAAAAACGTATCATTGTAACTTGCCAAGGGTTTACTTTTAGAATTGGGAGATTGGAAACAAAGAAATCTTAAGATTCTTGAATGATGAATTTGGGAATGAGAAGGAAAATTGAAGGTGCAGACGGTTATCTTTTGTCCATAAATATGTTAGTGCTGGAATTCAACTCTAAAAACTGTTTCTTTGGGAAATAAACCAAAAGAAGAAAGAGGATGGTGTGGGGTTTAAGGACCAGACGAGATTTCCATGCTGGAGAAGGAAAAGCTATTCAAACAGAGTCGGATGAAGCAAAAAAAGGCAAGATGAAGATGACTGCTTAGGAAGGAAAAATAGTCAGGAGGGCAAATGTTGGTTCTAAAATAAATCTATCACATTTGCTCTGGCAAGTCTATTCTGAGAATATCAATTGCCTTGATAATGTTCTTTTTTCCTTGTTTCCAATGCAGGAGACACAGGAGACCCAGGTTCCATACCTGGGTTGGGAAGATCCCCTGGAGAAGGAAATGGCAATCCACTCCAGTATTCTTGCCTGGGAAATCCCATGGACAGAGACGCCTGACGGGCTACAGTCCCTGGGGTCACACAGAGAGGGACAGGACAGAGCAAGGAAAGCTTTCACTTTTCTTTTCACAGGTCAATACATTTTATTATTTTACATCTAGTAATGTCCCAGGTAAAGAAGGTGGTGCTTTCATTCTATCATGCAACTGGATGCAACATCATGTTCACTGGATTAGAACAAAAATCTCATCAAGTATTGTCAGACTCAGAGGTCATGGGCATAGGGTCCTGAAAGAATTTCTATTAACAGCCATGGGTGTAGATCACGGACATGTCAAATGTTATGAACATTTTACTTTCCTTGATTCTTACAATAACACAGAGAAGGTACACATAAGGTACTTTTGCCCTTATTTGTAGATGAGGAAACCAAGACTTAGTAAAGCGGCTAAGCCAAGCACTTACGTGTTTATGTGTTTTTAGAAACCAATTTAAAATCCTCCACAGTCATGGTTTATGTTTGATGACTAACCAGGCTCCCAGGATCCTAGGTCTGCAGGTCCTTTCCTCTGGCTTTTGCCCTGCTGAAAAGACTTGGTGGTTTTTCTGAAAGCCAAAAACCAAGACAGAAGTTAGGTGGGGGTTGAAAACAAGTACGAATTTTTAACATCAGCTGATGCCTTAACATTCCATGTGTTTTACTGTGACCTTAGAGTGAACCGAAGAGGAAAATGGAGTTAGTTGCAGTTTTTGCCATAAACTAGCCTGATTTCGAGACCCTAAGGGGGTCTCAAATCAAGGGAATTAATTGTCCCAGTGAGAGTTTCAATCACCTTAGGTGGCCACAGGAATCGGAGGTGCATCTTTGACTTTTAAAAGGTGGAAACAAGGTGAAGCTAGGAGTATCTAGAAGCATCCAACGCTAGGGAATCTTCACCCATGCCTGAAGAAAGTTACGCATCCTTGCAAATGTCATCTGCTGACACCCTCGACACGGACACAGGTAAGAAAATACTGAATCCTTGAGGGGCTAAGTTCCTTCAGGAAAAGAGAAAGAAGAAAGGGACTGAAGGTCATTTGTCTCCCTCTTGAGCCCATCAGTAATAAACCGGTGTCATTATCTGTTAATCCTCTCGACACCTCTTTTCCAACGATAATCTGATGGGGTCGTGCGCTTTCCCTGGTGTCTCAGGCGTCAGGACCTGTGGATCGAGAGACGGGGGACCCGGGAGGAGCAGTTCAAATGTATACGGTGTATTTGAGAGTTTACGTGCACAGGCAAACGCGATGCGATACACTGATGTGTAAAATCTTAGCGTCATGCGTAGCACCCGGTAACAGTAAGTGTTACTGCTAAGCCAGAAGTCAGAACATCACCGCTTGGTACGGGTTAGCATCACCTTTTTGGTTTATTCAAGGTGTGCTAGAGATGCCATCGTTAATGATCCGAAACGCACCTTTTGGGAATATTTCACCTTTCTACTATACAAGTAGCCGTCGTGTCTTCTCCTAACCTCTGGATGTTTGGATATTACTGGGTAGTTTGTAAGCATCTGGTATGCTCAGGCCTCCTAAATTCAGGGGAAGTAAGTGTTCACCTCACCTTATGGTGGATGATTCCAGAAGGTTTAATAGGCTGCCTAAGTGGGTAAGCGCTCAGATCTGAAATCCAGTTTGGCTTCAAAGCTATGCTCTAGGGTACTCTTTCTGCCCGCTTCTGATACCTATGTCAGAAGCTTTCTCTATCTCCTTTATACTTTAATAAAAACTTAAAATATATATATATCTATGCTCTAGTACTTAAGCTTCTAACTGGTAACTGTGAATGTAAGAGATGCTCAGAATATTGTAAAGACAGCACCACCTTTTTTGGGAAATCAATTTGGCAGTCATTATTAAAAATAAAAAGGTACACTAGCCATTTACCCAGGAATGTGATTTTTAACATTTATGGTGTAAGACGGCCAAAGAACTATTTATGATTACAACTGTAGGACTCAGTTGTGGAGAAGGGAATAATTAAACAAAACAACTGCTGTGTTTGAGGCAAGATGTCCCAACTGAGATATTTGAGTGTTGGATTTTAATGTGAACCCCATTTACCTAAATTTTGTGTTAGTATCCTTTTATAATTTCACATGCTGAAAATACAGCACTTAATACAAGCAAGTGGGCATGTCCTCCTAGCAAGCTAACTGCACACTTGTAGCCGTGCATCCTGCATTGGAAGAGCAGAGTCTTAACCACTGGAGCACCAGGGAATCCTAGAAAATTTTTGACACGCCTCACCTCTAGTCATGAATTGAAGACTTTCCTACTTGTGAAATTGTGATTTTTTTTTTTTAGTTGTTGCTGTTTAAAGGCCTGTCTATTTATTCCATGACAAGCGTAAAATTAAAGTTGAGCACTGGGAATACCTGTGTACAAATAAATCTAATACAGGAAATAAAGTCTCAGTTACAAAGTCAATAATATATGTCAAGCCCTGTGCTAAACAATTTTTGTCTGTTACCTTGTTTTGTTACTTCTAAATTTTGTCTGTTGCATCATACTAATCAATGGAAAACCTCCATGAGATATACAACATGGGAAAGATAGCAAATATTTTACAATTATACATGGAGTATAACCTTTACAAATTGTAAATAACTATTGTACACCTGCGATTTACATATTATACAGCAAGCATATTTCACTAAAAAAAAAACAAAAAACAAAACCCTATGATAAGCTTGGCCCAATTGCCAAACCAAACAACAACAACAAAAAACTCCATGAGGAAGGGATAATACTGGAAATGAGACCACAGAACTAACCAAGGTCTGGGTTGCAATAGGAGTTTATTGGAATTCACATTTTCTGACAGTCCTGGTATTAAGACTGGGTAGTAAACTGTTAATTCTATAGGGTCCCCAAGAATCTGGATCATCTGTTTTATCAGAGGTTTGAGTCCCCCTTTGCTTCTCACCCAGAACAGGGGAAACTGGTGAGCTGCAGTCCACGGGGTCACAGTCTGGACAGGACTTAGCCACTGAACAAAAACTGCTTCCCAGCAACACATGATATTAACCATGTCTATTACATGTAAAATGTTTTTTGTGAAAAACTTGGCAGAGTGTTCAGGATCGCTCAAGAATAAAGTTATTACCTACTATCTCACTCTGAGGACTTTTAGTAGTGCTTTGAAAACAATGCATTTTTAATATTTGAAGTTTTAGAGAAAAGTGTTGTTTTATTCCCAACAGTTTCTCCTCTTCCTTCCTCCATGGATCTGCTTATTCAGGACAGTCCTGATTCTTCCACAAGCCCCAGAGTGAAACCACTGCCTCCATCTGCAGAGGAGAGCACAGAGAAGGAAGAGAACGTCCCAGTCAAGAAACAGAAAATCAGGACTGTGTTCTCACAGACCCAGTTGTGTGTGCTCAATGACAGATTTCAGAGGCAGAAATACCTCAGCCTCCAGCAAATGCAAGAACTTTCCAACATCTTGAACCTCAGCTACAAGCAGGTACAGTTGTTTTGTTGTCTGTGCAATAAGAAATAAAAAATAAGGGATTTCCCTGGTGGTCCAGTGGCTAAGACTCAGCACTGCCAATGAAGGGGGCCTGGGTTCGATCCCTGGTCAGGGAACTAGATCCCACATATCACAACTAAGATCCACCACAGCCAAATATATTTTTTGAAAAAAAAAAAAAAAAAAAAAGAATGTTTATGCACCCCTACAAATAAGTTAATTTTTAACAATGAAAATGGAATCTTTTTGTAATGTGTTTTGTGACCATCTTTCTTTCACTAAATATCTATTGCAAATGTGCCATAATTTATTAAACCAGTTCCCTTGTTAAACAAGCCAAAATTGTGAAAACGTTTCCAATTTTTCCTTAAACAAAGGAAAAACACACTCCTATCATCTTGAGTTAGAAGAGTCTTAGCCAACCACTGGTTCTCATTAAGATTAAAGTTGCATGTTTTATCTGTATACATCTGGTTACTGATGAAGTTAGTCATTTTTCATTTATTAATTGGCTAGTTTATTCAGGCAAATGGTTTTCTATTTCTGGTACCATACTTGGAAAGTCCTATCAAATGATCTTTATGTATAGCTGTCCTTGTGAAGTATGTTTCTTAATTCTTGAACTAAAATACCATTATATTAAATGTAAATGTGCTAATATGAAAGAGGGGGCTTATTATTGCAAACAAGTTACTTTCACCTGTGACTAATGAACAGTATGGGTAGACATTTAAATGTGGACCTCCTAGTTGGTAGCCATACTCATAGTGTATCTAACTGGTTAAGTTTATTAAACATAAGTTTACTAAAAAAGCCAATTGACTTGAAAGGCTTGAAGTTCACTCACAGATTCAAGATCAAATTTGAGATAGTTGTAGTTATCAGAAAAAAAACCAATCCTTAATATTCTTTGGTTCCTACTATCAATACATCCTGCATTACTAATATTTTATTTTTAAATTTATTTGTGGGTTTTGGGGGGTTTTTTAATGGACTTCCTGGTGGATCAGACAGTAAAGTGTCTGCCTACAATGCAGAAGACCCGGATTCAATCCCTGGATCAGGAAGATCTCCTGGAGAAGGAAATGGCAACCCACTCCAGTATTCTTGCCTGGAAAATCCCATGGACAGGGGAACCTGGTAGGCTACAGTCCATGGGGTCTTAAAGAGTTGGATACGATTGAGCGACTTCACTTTTAGCCACGTAGATGTAGCACATGGGATCTTAGTTCCCTGACCAGAGATTGAACCCACGCCTCCTGCATTGGAAGACAGGAGGTCCCTACTAATACCCTAAACTTTTTCTGGTTATCTTTTCCTTGTCAGGTGAAGACCTGGTTCCAGAACCAGAGAATGAAATGTAAGAAATGGCAGAAAAACAACTGGCCAAGAAATAGCAATGGCATGCCTCAGGTAATAACAGAAAACTTAAATTTTTCTGCTTTTTTCCTAAGAAAGACTTTTTAGTTCTGTCTATTGCTGCAGCATGCAACCCCAACCATGGGCAATTCTGAACTTCCAAGTACTTTTTCAGTTAATTCATTCTTCTTTCTTCAAAAGGGCCCAACAACAGCAGAATACCCAGGCTTCTATTCCTACCACCAGGGGTATTTGGTGAACTCTCCTGGAAACCTGCCCATGTGGGGTAACCAGACCTGGAACAACCCCACGTGGACCAACCAGAGCTGGAACAGTCAGTCTTGGAGCAACCACCCCTGGAACGATCAGGCCTGGAGCCCCCAAGCCTGGAATAACCAGCCTTGGAACAATCAGTTCAACAACTACATGGAGGAATTCCTGCAGCCTGGGATACAGCTCCAGCAGAATTCTCCTGTCTGTGATCTGGAGGCCACCCTGGGAACTGCTGGGGAAAATTATAACGTAATACAGCAAACTGTCAAGTATTTTAGTTCCCAGCAGCAAATCACGGATTTATTCCCAAACTACCCTCTCAACATACAGCCTGAAGATTTGTAACTAGGCTATTTGTGACGGCTGTTGTATGCAATCTTAACCTGAGCAGAGACTGTATATTCTCTAGAATTTTTCTCGTTTTAGAATTCTGTACCGCTTCCCCTTAGGAAGCTGCTTTTCACTATATCTTTTGTGTCAATTTGAGGGGAGCGTAATGAGTCCAATAAGAGGTTTCAGAAGCACTGTACAACATGACAAAAGGTGTCTGTCTATAGATAACTCGATTATAGTATTTTGGATATAATATATAATATTTTCGATACTTTTAGGATCTAGAATCTAACTTCAAGCACAGGGAGCAAAAGTACAAAGATGTATGATGAGGATTATTCATATTTTCTGGGATGGGAAGGCTTTACTTGGTAAGAATCTCAGTCCTTAAGATGAAGGGTGCTTCACTGATTTCCTCCACCCCTTTTAGCTATCTTACTACAACCCCTAATTTGTTCATCACTCTATTTTTGGAGAATGATGTTTTGTATTTTGCCACATCATAGTAGTACCAGTTTGGCAGGTTTGTTGTTTAAGTACAAATAAATAAAAAATAGCCATTTTACATTTAGTTGTCTCTCCTCGACTTCACGCAGTGATTCAAAGAGTTAAAAATCTGACTAAACATGGAAAACTTTTTTAAAAAATTTATTTGGCTGTGTTGCGGCATGTGGGATCTAGTTCCAGGACCAGAAACTGAATCCAAGTCCCCCTGCCTTGGTAGCTGGCAGTCTTGGCCACTGGACCATCAGGGAGGTCAACATGGGAATATTTTTTGATATGGAAGGGAATAAACTAATCTCTAGGCATCCAGGAAACTAGAAGTGAGTAAAGGAAAGGTAACCAGATACACAATATTAGGTGGTGGATTAATTAAACCTGAACAAACTTACTTCCTTTCTGTGTAATATTGAAACCATAAAATCTGTGGTTTACAGTTAAGGAAGAATGCCACATCTGGAAGATCTGGAGCAAAGGTTTGTAAAGAAGCGAAGTGGTGGGCAATGGAGGGGGAGGAGGGAGCTCTCCTATAGCACAGGACAGGGCCTGTGACTGCTCTTCTGCCAGAAACAACCGTTAGGGTTCAGCTTAATCTTATTTATTCTAATTTTTTATGTGAAATTCAGAATGGTTCTTTAAAATCAATAAAAATTATTTAGAGTATAGCTGCTTTACAATGTTGCGCTAGTTTCTACCTTACTAGCAAGGTGAATCAGCTCTCTATACCCCCCAACTTTTTTTTTTTGCATTTCCTTCCTATTTAGGTTACCACAGAGCATTGGTGGGAATAACCAGAGTGGTTTTCTTATTTTCCTCGTGGTTCCCCTAGTTTTCCAATTTTTATCTATTCATACTGTCCAACCCAATGAGTTTAGACATTTGACTAAAAGAGGAAGTCGGTGAAAATTTCTATCAATACCAAAGTTCAATGCAATATTCTTTTTGACTGGCAGATCTGTGGGTTTTGTGCCAAGCAGCATATTTAACCGAGTAGATAATGGAAATAGAAAGCACTGACTGATTGTATCATCAGTCACTTTATTTATTTATTTTTTTTTCATCAGTCACTTTAATATTTACAAAATTCTTGGCTCTAAACAAGTGCACAAGATGAACTGACAAATTTGAAAAAAGCACTAAATGATGAACCAGAACGTGGAAAACTTGGGAAAATAGTTACTGCAAAGTGTTACTGGGGGTGGGAGGAGGCTCAAGAGGGAGGGGGTATATTCATACACATAGCTTACTCATGTACAAAAAGACAACATTGTAACTTCGTTATATTCCAAGTAAAGTGGTAGAACCCAGGAAACACTAAATTTAGTTTTCCAGTACTGAGATGAACCATTATTACAGTTTTTTTTTTTTACAACTTTGTGCTTTGGATTAAGTGTAGCTATAAAACATTGGGAATAGGTAAGGAACAGCTAATTTAGGAAGATTTATTAGTGCCAAAAAGGATAGGAGCACCTATTATGTTTAAAACATCATGCTAGATAATGAAGATGGAAAACAAGACTGGAGGAAAAGGAGAAAGCAGAAAATAGATCGAATTTTGATGATCACTAAATGGCAACCCACTCCAGTGTTCTTGCCTGGAGAATCCCATGGACGGAGGAGGTTGGTAGGCTACAGTCCACGGGGTCACAGAGTCGGACATGACTGAGCCACTTCACTAACTTTTGACAATCAGCCATTTTACAGAAATGCTGTTCATCTATTTAAAGACTGGAGCTTTTGGTTGCAAAACTAAAAGAATCATTAAAAACTTAGCAATAGAGAAATACAAAATGAAGTGAGGCTAGTAAACAATATCAACAAGAGAGCATATATTCCTACAGGTGTTTTAATATATGTAATATGGGTGGTTTCTATATGTTGATTTAATAGACTTATGTAAGAGGATTATACCATGCATTTTCTGCTGAAAGGCTTTTATCCACTTTACATTTTTCAGCCTCTTTGCATGTCAAAATTGAGAGATCTGAGGTAATTTAAATAATAAAAATTGACAATTACATTCAAGAACGGAGTCCCTATTTTCCTTATTAAACATAGTAGTTAACGTTGAGATGGTTTCTTCATCAAATGTTCTCTCAAAATATTTCTGCTAATGAAGAGTGAAATTCAAGTTAGTCGAACCAGGGAAAGATTTTAAGTTTTTTGGTGTTTCCTAATATCTCAGTGTGACTTTGTCATTTCCTTAAAAAAGAAAGATTTTTACTTAACTTTAACTAACTCTGACATCTTTCCTGACATTTTCATGCATACACCGGACATCAACATAACTCACTTTTCCTATCCAGATAAATTACATGCATTTTCTGCAACTCACTTTTTCTAACTAAAAATAAAAATCTCCACATCAATGAATTTAAATGCTGTATTGACACATACTAAATGCTGCAATACATATTGCAAATACATTAATTTGCTTCTGTTTTGGTTATTTGCCATTACAAATCAAGTTACTAATAACAACAGCAATTTAAAGACTTTAAATGTTTGCTTTGGGTCATAGGATTACCAAGAATATAAACTAGTATAACTGAAGGAGACAGGCAAAAAAGGAGATTGTCACCTGCCAGCCTCTCCCATCTTTCCACATCCCTTCTCTTTAGAAAATTTTGATCTCTCCATCCTCCTCCCTAGTGGAGGTGGATGTCACTTCTAATGTCATTTTACTGCATTATATTTTAGCTTTGTCTTGATTTTCAGCTTGCCTCTCCATTTCAGTGCATGCCTGAACGAGAAGCACACGGGGCTGAATTTGCCTAAGTCTTCTGAATTCCACAGCCTGGATTCAAAGCCCAAGAGGGGGAGGAGTAGAGGCCTTGCTTACTGAATTTCAAGCACCCAATTCTCAGGGTGAAGGACAAATTTCATCCTGTTAGGAATAATCCTACTATTCAGAAAACTCGGTGTCTAGGGTGGGGTGGGGGGGGAGCCATGATGTGAGACCCAAAGGTAATGGCAGACAGCCGCCAGACGGGGCAGGAAAGGGGGAGGGCCCTTAGCAAATACTGCTGGCCCCCCGGGGCCCAAGGAGCTGCCTCAAATGGGAGATAAAGGGAATTTGTTAAATAAAGAAGCAGTTGGGGCCGACAAAAGCTTCTGGCACAGGAAGTGAGTCCGACTGAGGAGACCGAAATGTCGGCATTTGAATAGATGCCTTGGTGTGAGGCTGAGGTGAAACCAGACTGGAAGCAACAGCAGCTGGTGGCGAGCTCTTCCTTTAGGGGTTCCCGGTTTCTGGGTGTTTGATGTGGCCTGGGAGAAAGTGTCCTTGAGAATTTTAAAAGGTTAAAAGCTTGGGAAATGAATGCAAGGTAGCTCTACCTCCAAAGTATAATGACCAAGCAAGGTATTGAACAGAAAAATCTCACAGATGAAATCAAGATGCTAGAAGCCTATTGAATGAATTAAACTGGGACAGGCTCATGCACTTAGGGTCTCAAGGGGGAATTATACAAAGGTTGGCAGTGTTCATACAACCCATGTCTTGGGTGCAAGATGTGACAGGGACTAAGGATGTGGTCAGACTGAATTAGGGCCACAGCTTTGCAGAAAAAATGTAGCTGGACAGAGTCACCCAGGCTTTCTCCATGGGGACATTGAGGGCAGGTACTCCTGGCCATAAGTATAGCTTTTCTTAGCTTGATGAGCAGCTGTGGAATTTATTTTCACCACTTTGGTAGAATACAAGTGGTGTTGGAATGGGTGTTACCAATGAACCACCAATTTAAAAGCTATGGATGGTGGCACAATCTGATCAGAGAATTGTGCACAAGTTGATCACAAATTCTGTGATCCCCCTCCCTCACCTGGCTTTTAAAAGTGCTTCTCTGAAACCCTCTGGGGAGCTTCTGACTCTTCAGGGCATGAGGAACCTGTCTCCTTGCGTGGCTTTGCAATAAACCTTTCTCTGCTCCAGAAAATAAATACATAGATAAAATCTATGGATGTTGGATGCCTCTGGTACATAAGGATATTTAGTGTTGGACTAAATAAGAGTACTGATGCCTCTTGCTCCTCTGGTCCCATTCTGTGTTCTGTGTACTTGTACTCTGCCTATCCAAATCAGTCATACTTACTTAGCTACAGTTAAGGATTAAGCTACAGCTATATAGGGATTCCCAGGTGGCTCAGTGGTAAAGAATCCACCTGCCAATGCAGGTGACACAGGAGACTCGAGTTAAATCCCAAGGTCGGGAAGATCCCCTGAAGCAGGAAGTGGCAACCCAGTCCACTATTCTTGCCTGGAATACCGCGAACAGAGGAACCTGGCAGGCTACACTCCACAGAGTCACAAAGAGACACGACTGAGCACTCATGCACACATAGGTTACATAAATTACATTTGTTTTCCACTGTCATAGTGAACATTCTCAGACAATACAGTAAATGCACTTTATACTTGATGAGTCACCCAATTCCTGCCCTTCTGCAATTCCTTCATTCATTCTTAGCTTCCCCCAGATCCTAGTTCTCATTTTTCAGGTCTCTTATCC